TAGGGCTGCAACTAACAATTATTTTCATTATCGATTAATCTGCCAATTATTTGCTTTATTGATTTATCGTTTAGTCTTTGAAAATGTCAGGCAGTAGTGAAAATCCAACAGCTTCTTGTAATAACAACATATCATGCTGGACTGAAAGGAGATATGTTGATTTTGTGAAATAACAAGACAAAGTGATATGTTGTTATTACAAGAAAGGTGTCTTGTAAAAGGTGAACAATTTGGCATCTAGTAATAACATGAAATATATAAATATATATATACAAAACATTTTTATGGCGGCAGTAAATGCTGCTGTAGATGACTCCTCTCAGCTCATATTTTGAATTTAACGCCTCACGAAGGTCTGTGATCGAACATTAGCTTTTATAATAAACACAGTGGTGACAGTGAGCATGAGTCAACTACTTCCTTCTGCATTATTTGTCGACCAGGTGTGTATTAGACAATATCATTCAACTTGAGACCACAGGAATGGCAATGCCGTTAATTATGAACACACAATTGGGCATTTATCCTTATCTGCTGTCACGAACGAATAAAGGGTATAATTCTTTACATTTACAGAATTTAAAAAGTGTGTTTTTCAGAATTGTTTCTACAGGATGAAACGTGTATTATTATGTACGCAGCTATCCTAAACTTGTGGCTACACATCTGGAAGGTTTCCAATATTTGTTACTGTATGCCGTACAGGCTACTGAGGACGAGTGTCTCTGTCTTTATTTCTTAATAGGATCCTGAACTCCAAGATCCATTGTCACTGAGTCTAAATGAAAACTATGATGACCAAAATTCGCCACATCATGATTCAAAAAAAGCACCAGGAAGCCCTGACTATAACTGTGAGACTCCAGAGATTCAAGTTATCATCAAAGAGGAAGAGGAAGGCTGGACTGTGAGTGAAAATCGTGAGTGGAAAATCTTAAATATCAGCAAACCCCTTACTAGATGAAATACACACAGTTACTCGATTGTGACTTTTCACATTTTTGTTTTGCCTTGTAATGTTAAACACAGATGAGAGCTTCAGCTCAGAGGAAGAAAACGAAGATACTTCCTCACACACTTGTCATCCCCAGCTCAAAGCATACGGGAACGAGAGCTCCATTTCGTGCGGAGTAAAGAGACACGAGAGAGTGTTTTTGGTGGACAAATGCTCGGAGGAGTCTGGTGGCACCACTTTCTCTGGGCAGAGCTCCTCCGTCAGTGCGGGGCAGCAGAGACACACGCTCATGGACGAGAAACCTAAGATTTCCTGTATACGTGGAAAAGTGCCGGGAAATGTGACTGTGCACCAGTGCAATAACACAGTATGTGAAACGACCCCTAGTCACAAAAGGAACATGAAGGCCCATCAGGGAACACGTGCAGCGGACGAGTGTTACGCTCAAGACCAGAGCCTTGACGTAAAACAAAGCACATCTTTGCCAACAGAAGCAGAACTACGTGAGACCAAACGATCAGCACCTTGCCAAACAGTATGTAATAGCTTTTCTTGAAATTTGTCATATAATGTTATAAAACATTTGTAATTGGTACTTTCTTTCTTTCTTTCCTTTTATTTTCTTGTTGTTCTAGTCATCTAGTAGCGGTTTCGTGTGGTCAAACAACAAGGTGGTTCCTCTAATACCACTGTTGCATTTGCTGAATGTGTTATGTTTTTGTTAGCTGGTTCCTGACCTGAAGCCCCGTTCGAAAGTTGTCCACAAACGGAGCAGAACAGGAACATGACAATATTAGGGCGTAGATTATGTTAATGACCACGTATCACGAATGTGTGCCTCCTCATGAACCGGGGACTTAAATCCGGCTGAAAGGAGTGATTCACGCCAAGTTTGTCCAGTTAAGAGTTTGGTGAATCAGACTTGAAACACTTGGACCATCGAGCCTCATGTTTAAGATAACAATACAAAAATGTTCCTGCATGAGGCCCAATAATAATAAAACCATTTTTAGTTTTAGTTTTGTTTAAACATCCCACATTATGTGTGATTATCAAGGTAGGCAGATAACTTTCAAAACTCATTGAGTACACTTTTATAGTTTTTTCATCACTATGCATTCCAACAAAGTGAGAGAAATGTCCGAATCTGATGTCACTATTTCTTATCAGATTCACTTTGTGTGTAAAGACTCCCGAAAGATGCAGAAATTGACTTCCTTTCCACACGATGTTCTGCATTTAGGATTCTCCTGAACATAAGCCCCTGATGTCACATGGACTCAAGCTGGCATCGGCAAACTTAGAGGACCAAACGCTCCATGTGACCGTCAGACTGCAGGCAGGGGATGAGGAGGAGGAACAAGAGGAGGAACCAGATGAAGAAATTGGTGGTTTAATCAACTCTGATGGAGAGGTGGTTGAATGGGATGGCAGTAAGTGATTCATAAGAACACATTTACTGCAAAGCCACTACTGAAGCACACACATGCAAGGGAACACTCTTGTTTCATCTGAGTTTATTATATTTATTATATTTGGAAAATAATAATTTAAGTAGCAGTTAAAAATATAACACATTTTCTCAGCATTGGCAAGACCTTTTAAGTTTATGAAAAGGTACAGAGCCTTAGTTCTTTTGTTTTCTGTTATTATTTTGTTCCCAGTCACAGTTTTATGGGTAGTGATAGCATGCA